AGATGTACTTATACTATAAATATTTGATAATAGTAATTAGAAATGCATTTAGTTGTTATTTGTTTAAATTAAATTTAACTTTGCAAAGTTATAAATAATTCATGTAACATTAAATTTGAATTCTATGTAAATATTTCTTGGTATAAATATGAATTTATCATTTTGTTCAATTCTTAGTTTACATTTAATAAAAAAAAAATTGTTATCAATATAAAAAATTCTTGGAACAACCCGTGACCCGCGAACCGCGACCCGTATGGGCTCGACCCGGATAGATCAGTGGGCGGGATTGGGTTGTAGTCCAAAATTTGTGGGCCAACTCGAAACCTGTCCGAAACCCGTAGCGGACGGACTTTTTTTCACGCGGGCCGTTATCGAACTCATATGTTGGCGGGCCGACCCGACCCAACCCATCCGGATTGACACCCCTAGAGGCCTAGATCGAGGCTCTTCTTTCACTAAAGTTAAAAATGAAGAATATTACAAGAGTTCCTTAGGAAACAAAACAATCTATTTGTAGATTGTAATGATATCACATTCCAAGATCGTTACATATCTTCACTAGAGTCAAAGCACTTCAACTGTGAATTATATAAACTTAATTAGGACTAAAAAGGGTACTGAAAAGGCCTGTTCTTCGCAAGCTGGCCGAACTTAGCCAGCTATATCGACCCTCGCCACCTCCATTGTTAGAACCTTCATAATGGTCTTCATCCTTGACTAGAGAATATTCTTTGATCGTACAATATCTAAATAACATTTTAGAACAACCTATCCAACAATTCTCCATCATTTTCAAAAATAATGAAAAATGTCTCATAAAGAATAATCAATTTTAGGCCAACGATCCTATATGACTAACCGAAAACACTCGCACAAATTTGAAAAATCTCTTAACAGTGTTAATAAACCAATACGTGATTAAGACATGTATCCAATGTCCTACTTTATTTCATGAGTATCTTAAATAGCTGGCAAACCACTTCGCAAACGACGCGATCATTGATACTTAATATTAGTAAACTTGTCAAGAATACTTGTATAACAAAAGTATTCTAGGAATGAATGTTCATATAAGTCTATTAAAAGCTAGGTAGATTATTCTTAACTTTATTGTTATGTATGCTAGACACTTTTACCTCGGGACAAATATAGTGTTTACAATCATTCATATGATGTGCTTTGCTCATTGAATCTAAATATTGATATTTCAAGTGTCAGGTCGAGCTTCTATCAATGATGATCGATAGTTAGCTTCTAAGAGCATCTCCAACAGACTCTTTAAACATGAGATGCTCTCTATTTTAAAGAGTCAACATGTAAAATCATGCTACTATAGACTCTTTAAATTAAAATTTTAATTTAGAGAGTGGGTTTGGC